TTTCTGGTTCCTATTGTTTATTTACAGACATGGGAGTGACACGAGTAAGAATGTGTTTCATGTACTTCTGCACAGTGGATCAAACTGCACACGCTCTGCACGCCTGTTTATCTCTAAATAAGCCTGATTTATTTTTTCCAACTCAAAGATGATGATGGACAGGTGTGATTTGCCATTGTCAGGCTGCCTTCACTGATTTTTATCCAGCTGGGGATAAAAAACAATACTTGATTAAACTAATTGTGTCTCATGGATGCATTTGAGTTTGGACATTTAGATTTACCATATTTTTCGGATTATAAGCCGCGATATCAATGAAAGGGTCTGTTTTCATACATAAGGCGCACCGGATTATAAGACCTGTTCTGTCTGGAACAGGTCTCTCTTGTAAATGAGTCCTCGTGGCTCAATGAGACTAACCTGTATTACGACGGAGTTTTAGGGTCACGCAAAAAAAAAAAATACATTGCCACGCTAAGAAAAAAAATAAAAGCCATAAAATTATGAGAATAAAGTCGAATAAAGTTTTAGTATTACTAGAATAAAGTTGTACGAGACTTTTTTTTTTCTTTTTTAACAGATGTCTTTTTTTTTTCCACGAGTCGGATCCACGACGCAACCTGTCAATCAGTCTAGTAGGCGTGTCAGCAAATGACCAATCCGAAGCTAACTGAGTCATAATATTATCCGAACTCCGACATGATAAAGCAGGTTTACTGCATTTTAACTGTGGTAAAATGAAGAATGTTTGTTAAACTTTATTTTTACTGACACTCTTACTCAAAACGTGTTCCAGTACTGCCACCTACTGGTGTGTTTTTGTACGCTGCTTCTGAGATGCACATACGTGACGTCATTACGTCATGACTTCATTTTTTTTGTTTTCGTTTTCAAACGGCGCTCAGTGAGAGAAACTGTGTAATCGTAATCTGTTAGCACATCAGATTATTATTAATATCCGAACTTTGAACCTGCTTACAGTAAGGTACGTTCCTGCTCTCTGCAGGTAAAGAGCATTTAGCTTCTGATTGGTCATTTGCAGACACGCCTACTGGGTTGATTGACAGGTCACGTTGGAGCCGATTCGTGGGGAAAAAAATTACGAAAGCTGTAAAAAAAAAAAAAGCCTCATATGACTTTATTCTCATAATTCTATGACTTTATTCTTGTAATTTTATAGCTTTTACTTTTTTTTCTTAGTGTGGCAATGTAATTTTATTTTATTTATTTAGATTTTTATTTTTTTTGCATGGCCCTAAAGCTCCATCGTATCTGTGTAAATAAAAGTTGAATGGGAAAAAAAAAAGGCTCAGTCGATTTTTGAGAAAATTTAAGAATTTTAAGTGCGCCTTATAGTCCGAAAAATATGGTATCTTATTTGTTTAGGTGAAAAAAATGTACCTTTCACACTTGTCTCACTATATTTTCCCTACATGGTGTTGAATCCTAAAACATTAAACATAAACAGTTTGGATTACTGTGATCCCATCTGTTAGCATGTAAATGTTTATATTTATTTCTAAAAATACAAATAGGCCCTAGTTCTCCATTACTGTACAAAGATGTGATAGTTATAAAAACAATAATGTAATAATTGTAACTAATATTTGTAACATTAAAAAGATGGCATGAAAATAAGTTTATTAAAATAACCTTTATTAGTTTGTCTAGATCAACAGGAAGATATAACACAAAAATAATTTGTACACACTGATGACATTGTTGTTAATGGTTATCGTTGCTGTTACTATGGCAACAAAATGGCAACAGTGCTACTTTTTTGTTACTCTATTAAGTTTTTTTTAATATATATATATATATATATATATATATATATATATATAAATTGAGTTATTATGCTAAATTATTCAAAAAGAGGATGCAATTTATTTGTTTTGTTTTGTTTTTGCAACATAATTTTAAATTCTGAAAATATATTGGTTAATTGTTTATTTTCCTTTTGTTTTGTTGATGTTTATCTTCTTGTACATTTTGTTTTTAGGAAATAAAAATGGATGTTTAAGGCAAAAATGTACCTGTCAGGGAGGTGAAGAGGAGTTTGGATGAACTGAAAGATTTTTTTTCCTGTAAAATCTAAACTGGTTTGTCTCCTGCGGCCCGGACCGCCTGGTTCTGTGGAGTTAACGAGTTCTGTTTCAGTTTTGGCCCAGAATGTGGTCATAAAGTCTCTGTGCCCAGCTGTGCTGGGTGATGTCAGTCCTGACTGAGGTGTATACGAATGTTTGATGTTCACCTTGTTTGCACTTATGTACATAAAATATGTTAAAATACGCTAAATTTATTTTGAATAAACATAAAAGAAATGATTAAGATAATTGGTGTATTGTTAATAAAATGTTTGTTTATTGCTGTGTGAAAAGCTTGTTTTGAGGGTATTTATCTTTTTATTTGTGTTTATGAGGACCTTTTTTTGATGCGCTGTGATGAGTTTGCTTTAGACAAACATTTCTTTCAGTTTGGCGTAAATTATTATTTGATAAAGTGTGACTTTGTTCAAAGAGAAGAGGTGGATTCGAGCAGCAGGTCAGTCTGCAGTAAATTTAAGATATCCTGATTTTAAAAGCTCATCATGAATATACAAAGAGTAAATCCCCAGGATACAAGCACAGCCACTCCACCTGCAGGCTGAAAACAACCAGGAAACATAAAACCAGGAACAAACACGTCAGCTGTGTTGGTAAGGTTTTAAACTGACTTATTTCTGTTATTTTCTGTGGTTGGTTGTATTTTCCCCCTTATAATCATTTCAGAGTATAGCAATTTTGCATTTCCATCTGGATTTTAGTCCAAACTTAAAACGGCCATGTTTTCTAGTCTGTTCCTGCAGAAATGATCACATCATGCTTAAAGCTGCTCTGAAAGCCAGGGATTTGGTTTCCTCGGCTCTTGTCCTTATTGTGAACTGATTGTCATCCTGGTGAATCTGTTCACAGCTTTTTGACTTACGACTTCAGAGTGAAAGGCTCTGGGGTCTCTGCTGTACTCAAACTCCCCACAGCTTCTTTACAACGACTGCAGTTCTTTTTGACCCTGATATGCAGAAATTTTTGGTCTCCATCAGTTACGAGTGAATAATCTAAAAAAAAAAAATGTGTTGTCGATGGTACTTTCAGTTGTAAATGTGCCTTCATTGTGCAAAACTGACTGTGTAAAAATATTAATTTTATTCAAAATCAAAGCATCATTACATCGTGTCATAAGATAGGGACAAAAGTCATGGACTGAACGGCGGCATGTGGAACGTGAAGAGGCCCAAAGACTGTTCAGGACTAAGCCATAAGAATATAAACTGTAACACTTTAAGACAGACAGGCTGCTGTCAGCTTTAGTTTCACTCAGCTTTCTGCTTGTGGTGCTCGTCTGTGCTGCTTTGCTACACGCTACTTTATTTTGCTCTATAGCTGTTCACGTGCCTATGATGAGTTCTGCGATTTCTGTTTGACCCTTGAATAAAAACACATCATGGTGATTGTCTTGCCGCATCTTCCTTTCCAGTGCTGGTTTTTACACGTGTATTCCTTGACATTAAAATAAATGTGTGCTGTTTTTAGAATGGGAGTCAGATACGCCTGTTGTGGCATTAATGGAAAAAGAGACGATGGTTAAACTCACAAACTCTTCTGCATTTCTTTTATCACATTGTCAAACCAGTGTCATTTAATGGCAAGAAGTAAATTCAGCAACAGAACATTAATGTGTTTACTGTATACACCTCAGAACACAACCATGCCATTTACTCATATAGTATATCAAATATCCCTCACATACTTTATATGGAATGTTAAAAGTGTCCTGTTTCAAGGTTATCACATCAGAACATTGTAAAGTTAATTTAAGTTTAGTGATTTTTTTGAAAGGCAAATACTGCTCCCTACCCAAAGGTTTTTATAAAACAACTTACTGTCAGTCATTCTATAAATGAAGATTGTTCATGGGCAGAAAGCACAAAAAAATAAACCAATTTTCCCTAAATCAAGCATTCAATGACCCCACTGGCTCAGGTTTTACATATAAAATGTTACATGTATGTAAAATGTAACAGTTTAGAACGTGACATTATCAAAAAACAAACTGGAAGGAAGAAAACCCTAAATTTGCTAATCACAAAACTTATTATTTGCAGAAGGTTAAAGAAAGATGCTAGATAACCAACAAAACTGTGTTTTTATTTGGTTGCATAGAAAGACTTTACTCATCAGGGTGACTCCTAACAGTAGTAAAGATAACACCCCAGCATTATCCTAGCTCTTACTCTGCTCTCAAGAGAGCTGATAACACAGAATAAAATAGAATAATATTTGTTGTAGTTGTATAGTTTGTATATAACCAAAAAGTATAT